GGGTGTCAATTCTGATGTAGAAGATGCCGTGCTGGGTGTGCCTGTTAGAAACATCAGGGACAGAGAAAACAGACAAAGGCACAAAGGCATCAGTGGGACTCAATAGTAAATCAGCAGAAGCTGTGCATGGGGCAGCTGTCCCAGACCTAGAGGCATCAAGCCACTTTTATATCAACAAAGGTTCCTAGCACTAGCCCTTCCTTTCTGGCCCCAGAGAGAAGAATCCTTGAAATCCATGCACAGAAAGGTGATGGACCTTCTTTCTTAGCTAGGAGACTGATGATGGTGCTGAAAGGTGCTTCTCACCAAATCAGAGAGACCTACCAATAGGTAAGAAATGAGGAGGTGCATCGCTCTTTTATGTCGCTGGGGCTTTCTATCTCTGCCTCACTACCTGAACACCTCAGAAATCCTTGCAGTAAGAGTTGTGTGGTGAATTCATCGTCAGACATGGAAGTGTGAAAAGAAGTAAATTCCTGCCTGACTGTCAGGAAATTTCGTTCTGGCAGAATGTCAGACTAATGGAGGGCTTCCCAGCGTTTTAGCAGATGTTATTAGCAAAAGGCTATAGTTCACAAGAAGTGGCATTTTTTACTGTTTCCAAAAGTCTCCCAGTGTAATCCTTACTTCCAAGATCTAGAACCATTGTCATGCACTTGTACTGACGTGCCAAAGGAGAAGGAGGAAGGGAAAAAAGTCTACCCAGATATTCCTAGAATGAGAGAGTCACAGACTAAATCCCCACTCCAATTGTCCTCCTAGTGTGGATCCAGTGACTACATTCTGGATGGCTGAACAACAAGGTCCAACAGCAGGAAAATCAAGAATTTCTATCAGTTCAGCATCTGTCTAAATTGGGTACCAGCATGAAATTTTACCTGGGAGTCTTTTGAGTCAGGGAAGCCCAGACCTCCACCCTAGGACCCCTAAATCCTTGTTCTTCTTAACTAGCTGGCTGAAAGACCAGCTTTGTGCACAGGGCACTTCAGGGGATGAACAGTAATTCCTCCAATCTACAATCCCATGGAAACACATTAAAGAGGGGCCAAGGCACCTTCATTTCTCCCATAGCAAAGGAACACATCAGAGAACAGTCCAGAGAAGTACCTGGAGTTGTTGTGGTGGTGGTGTATGTTGGTGTTGGTGAGGATGTGCTTGAAGTAGTTGAGGTGGGTGTTGGTGGTCCAGTGGTTGTTGTTGTCGGGGTGCTGGTGGTGGTAGGAGTCTCCGTCGGCAAGGTCATGGTTGTTGATTTTGGTGTGCTTGGTGTGGGTGGAGCTAGAAACAGCAGGGACAGAGAACAAAGATACAAATGCATGAGTAGGAACTCAGTAGGAACTAAACAGAAGCTGTGCATGAGGCAGCTGGCACAGACCTAGAGAGCTCATCCCACCCTTAGCACTGCAAAGGTCCCTAGCATGAGCCCTCCTTTTCTGGCCCCAGAAAGCAGAATCCATGACAGAGAGGGTCATGGCCTGCTTTTCCTAGTGAAGAGATTGGTGCAGGAAAGTGCTTCTCACAAAATCAGCAAGACCATGTCAGCCTGAAGAAGGAAGCCTGTGCAGCCCACCCAGATCACGCCTCTAATAACAGGAGTTTGAAGCATGGCCTACTCTTTTCTCACACAGCAGGTCCATCTGGAAATATTGTCTCCAGCAGAAGCTTAAAAGTCCAAACCCTCCAAACTTCCTTGCAGACCAACATTTTCTAGGATTGTGACCTGACTTCAGTAGCCAATAGCCCTTTATTTCTCCAAAGGCAAAGTAAGATCACAGAGTATTTTTCTCTTAAATAGATGTAGATATTGAAGTTACTGGAGTGGGGACTGATGGCGTATACTCACATGTTGTGGAATGGATGTGTATGGGCGTGGTGGTAATTTCTGTTGAAGTCCTGGTTGTAGTACTGCTGGTTATTGTTGTCTGGGTGGTGGTTGAAGTTTGTGGTATAGTAGGTGTAATTGTAGGCTCACAAGGAATTTGTTGCCATTCACAACAGTTTACTCTGATTTCATAATTATAGCAAAGTGGCCACATAGTTATATCTTGCTCATCATTTTTACAGATTAGCCCATATTTAACATTACACTCTACTTTCTGACCAAGTTGTTCTAAGGTCAAATCAGGTTTATCCTTAGCCCTGCATTCAATTTCTTCAGGAGCTGTACATATTTTGTGTCCATGCTTTCTTATTTCATCATATGTTTCATAGTCACCACCACCTTCTTCAGGTTTACTAACATCAAACCACTCAGTCCAGTCACAGATTAGTTCTGTGATTATGCATGGAGCTGCAAGAAAAGACAGAGGTTTCAGAGTTTACAGAGAACATCCTGAGAAGATCCATTTTTTGTTTTCTTCCACTAAGGACTAGAGGACTGCATTGCAATTTGTAATCCTTCCAAAGAAAAGAGTTCTAAAATTGGTTCTGTATAACCAGGTCTTTAAACTGGAAGTTTTGCATCAAAATACAATTACCAAACTGAAGCGTTAAAGGTCCTTCTTCTCTCTATACTAATGGCACTTTTGAAATTCTAAAAAAATTATTCATTTTTGTTTAAAATGTATTTTTTTCTGTATTGATTGTCTTTAATTTATTCTTCCTTTAAATATTCCTTTGATATTTTTAACAACCTTGTTTTGTATTTATAACTTACTTGTAGTTACTGGACGGCTTGTAGTGGATGCTGAAATAGAACAAAAATAGATAATTTCAAAAGAAATATAATAGTATTTTTTTTTTTTTTGCTGACACTACTAACATTATTTCTACTATCCCATTATTGAAAAGCTAAATTTTTGTTTCAAAAATATGAAGGCACCCTATACATTTATATTTACTTTTTTTTTCACGAGAAATAAATCAACTCAAAATGCTAAAAGTCTTTCTTAGTGTGGTGTGATACAAAAATCCCTAAATATTGCTTTATCTGTGTCAACTGCAATCCCATAGAATTGTATATTCTATATTTAAAATATTTTCCTTAAAAAATAATTTTTAGATCACATTTCTATTAATGACTTACCTGTGGTGGTGGTGGTGGTAAGAGTAGTGTAAGGGGAGAAGGTTGAAATGGTTGTAGGTGAAGATGCTGGACAAGGATAGACTTCAGCAGGAACTACAGAGCCATTTTCTGCACAAACGTATCTTATACATGTGTCTCCATCCTGTACTACTCCCACAGTAGCATCCACTTCATAACTTGTTCCATTGATGACACAAGGACATCCTGCAAAGAAGAGCTTTACTGTACAATTTTTCCACTACCACGTAAAAGGCAGAGGCAAAATTCTTATGGACAAGAGAGCACTTACATGAGTCATGCATGTTTTTCAGACCTGTACCTGGAGCTTAGATCTACTATATTGTGCTAATTTATCTTTACATTTAAAACAATGTTAAAACATATTTAATCAAGTTCTGAATAAAATGCCTGGTGGTACAGACTTAGAAAGTAGTTTTGAAAATGTTCTAAGAGAAAGAATAATTGCAATTTACTATCTGACACTTTTATATTAATAACTACATGTTCAGGAAGTGCAAACTCGTAGTGAAATCCATTAGTTTGGATATGGGACATGGGGAGAAAGACTGAAAGGGCTCAAGAAAAAGGTTTAACCAGAAGTACTAACAGCAAGGTTCAACAAAAGTACTGCCAAATTTTCTTTAGTCACAACTTTCACTAGCACTGGAAAGACATATTCTAAATAAATACTAAGCCTTTGTAATGTCAGACAGAGCAGTTCTGTGCATTTCCTTTTCTTTTTGTTTCCAGAAAAACCCAAACGTTATTTACCTGCGACTGGTTTACACTCTATGGATCCTGACGGGACACAGACACTAAAAGAAAAATATTCAAAAATTAAAATGTTGCTGATGTTTTATGACACCTGTTAGCAGAGTCAAGAGCACAGAAACATACATATTTGTCACTTGATCTTCATTTACACTACTGGATATTTTTCTGGGTATATTTTTCTTTCAAACTAAGTCACCACTTTCAGTTCAACTGCGAGTTGCAATACTGCAATAAGAACTGTTTTGCAGAGTGAATTTACAGCTAGATCAGATTATTCTCTGGTCACCACGTGGAACTAGAGGTGTAAATGCTGTCATTGCTAACACTCTAAGCATGAACAATTAGGACTCAACTATCTCTTTCAGGGCAAGAGTATTCTAGACTACAGTGATTTTGAAGTCCCAGTTTTAAGTGAGAATGCAAGGCAGAGTAGCCCCTCTCTTCCCAAAGAGTAATGAGGATTGAATGGCTGTTTTAGAAGTTCATCAAGGTTTCATTATATAATTCATGACAGTTGACAGGTATAATTAATTAATTTGCTAATGCACTTATTATGATAACACTACCAACCTGAAATCTGGATTATTATGGGTTTGGAAAACTATGAAATTCAAGAATATACCAGATCTTCAGCTGAAGTTGCATCTCTATTTGTTTGAGCCCAGTAAAGTAGATGAAGGACTCGGCATATCCTAATTATTTTGTGAATTACTGCAAGTAATTTTTATATACCATATTGTACAGTTTTCTGAGGGTACTTCTTGCCAAAGAGGTACATGGGTTCCATCTTCAAGGTAACATCCACACTGATCTTCAGTCACACATTGCTTTGTCTCTTCATTATAAATAGGCTTGTCATTAGGGCATCTGGGGTAGCAACCTATTGATGACAGGTAGAACAGAATACAGGATGAAGAAAAAGTACAAAAAGTCAACTCAGTGATATGTTGCCTTCTGAAGGCAAATTATTCTCACTGAATCATTCATAGTGAAAGAAATTTAAAACTTCCTATTCAAATCAAACTATGGACAATTAGCCTTTCCAAAAGACTTCAACAGTTCTCATTGATAATACTGGTGTGAGGAGAATTAAAAAGTTTTTTTATGAAAATCAGTGAAGTTTCTTTTTGTTAGTTCAATACCTTGGAGAAACCCCTAACTCATTTCTACAGGCAAGTAGTAATTTTAAGACAAAGAAACACCCCAATTTTTGTACAGATCACTATATCAATAATATTTTTGTGCAGAATATGGAAGCAGGTTCACTAACAAACAGGTTTTTCACTACATTTCTTGCAACATAAAACTTTGTTTATATGTCTTGAATACACCAATATCTCTACCTGGTGTACAGGTAATTATCTACAAACATTGTTTTTCCTTACCTCAGGCAGTGATCCAAATTTCACTGCAAGGGATTAATTGACTGTCAATTTTCATTCCATTTTTTATGTAAATACACTTAAAATAATATTCTGTTGTTATTATTATTGTATCTCTTTCCTCTAAATAAATTCTTACAAGTCCAATTATTAATGACATGTAGTTCTCTTTTTACTGTACTGGAGTTCTAAAAAGCCTTTAAACTGAAGCACCATGTAATTAACTGGTACTTAAAAGTCACTTTACACTGCCAAACTGTACTTAAGATGTCCTAACAAAAATAGATCTGCTCTATATTTCTATTGAAATTAAACAACAAAAATAATTAAGAAAGATAATTGGATATATAATAATCTGCCTTCTGACACCTCCCAAATCTTATCTATCTAATAACATAAGAATTTATTTTAAAATACAAAGGCTTGTTGGGTTTTTAAAGAATATTTTGGCAAGGGATTCTAGTTGATTTTTTTAGTAGGGCTTTTTGGTGGTTTGTTTTTGGTTTTGTTTTGGGTTTTTTTTGTTTGGTTTGATTTATTTTTTTATTTTAATTTTTTTACTAGCACTTGAAAGCAAAGTCATACTCAAGGCTTTTCTTGCCAATCCCTAAACTGGAGATAAGTGCTTTCAGTACAGACCAAAAAGACTCTATGGCTAAAAACACAGCTTCTTTCTCCAGCTTTACCATGTGATAAACCAGAAGATGCTTGTAAAGACTTTCACATTCTTGGATCATTGCTGTCCTTTTAATATGAAATTCCTGTTCCATTATCAACCACAAGGACTGTCAGCTACTAATATCTCATCTACAAAGGAAAGAGAATCTCCAGTACAAATCCAGTATATAGCAGCATCAGTGCGTCTGCTATAAAAGATAATTTCCAGTGTAAAGGTAGGTCAATGTTGCCAACTAATCTAGTAAAGGCAAGATGATCTAGTACATAAAAAATGATAAGGTTAAAAACATCCAAATATCAGTTTCTTGCTTCAGACTTGCTCTTTGCCATATCAAAGATTTTCCTGGTTTTGAAATACTTTTGCGTGGGATTCAAAATAACCATGGCATAATAATAATGCATGTTTCAGGATATTATCCAAACAGAGAACTAGTTTTGTGGCTGACAGTAATGTAACTATCACTCGTTAATGTTAATAAATAATAAATTACATTATAGAAAACATTTATGTAATGTAAAGAAACTGGAGACAAACTCAACATAGCAGATTTAGGAACATCTCATCAGGTTGTCTGATTAGTCCACAATTATTAAAAGATATATGAACAAAGTTATACAAAACACAATATAAAGTGGCAAGGAATTTGTTACCTTCCAGCAGTGGTATTGTAAAGTTGGTGGTGACATTATTGATCATCCTGCACGTTGTGATATTACTGCCACAAGGCTCGTAGTGCCAGTCACACTCATTACGAGGATTGTAGTAGTCACAGAATATTGCTGATGAGAAAAGAGAGAAGCTGATTAAAAACAAGCTTGCCAGAATGTACTTCTAAGCAGGCCTTTAAAGGTACAAGCTCTTCAATCTACAAGTTAAACTGGGCAAATTTCTATTGAGGTACAAGACCTGGACTTTCTGCTACTCTGCTTAAATTTAGGATACATTAAAACATTGATGCCAAAGACTGAAATTTTAAATATTCAGGGCACTGGGTAAAAATGCTTCAAATCATAAAGAAAAACTATTTTTAAAAAATTATTTTAGTTTAAAATTAAAGGTATATTTCTGAGAATATTTTTCTTCCACAGCTACTAGCAAACTCCTAAATATTTTTCAGTTTTATACAAAATAGTTCCATCTTGCTGTATCACACAGGCTGAAAGTCCAAGAGGAAGCATATGAGCCATTATGAATACAGCTTAAATTCAGCTTAGATGACTAGAGACAGAGGAAGGAGCTTTTATTAACTTATATATCAGAGCTAAATTAAACTTATAATTTTTGTTTCACTGACTTCTTGCACGTAAAAGCTCCAATTAGTCCAAAATCTGAATCTGAATGAATTTTTTAAGAAAAAAAATTATATATTTCCACTTCTTAGAATCTCAAAATTTTTATTTGAGTGCTTTTTGGGTAATATTACTTTAAATACTATTTTACATTAATTTATGATGTACTGGTATGAGTACTATCACCACTAATGGACACTGCTTAATATACATAGCACTGATTAGGTTCAGTGCTAAACATGGGAGTGATATATACTTTTTGCTAAAATTGAATGAAAGAGGGGAAGAGAAGAGAAGAGAAGAGAAGAGAAGAGAAGAGAAGAGAAGAGAAGAGAAGAGAAGAGAAGAGAAGAGAAGAGAAGAGAAGAGAAGAGAAGAGANAGAGAAGAGAAGAGAAGAGAAGAGAAGAGAAGAGAAGAGAAGAGAAGAGAAGAGAAGAGAAGAGAAGAGAAGAGAAGAGAAGAGAAGAGAAGAGAGCTGAAATATAAAAATTTACTAGCCTGTTAATTCTCTGATATGCTGAGTAAAGGTTTCACCTAGCAGCCAGCATGACCTTGCAATGACAGTACTAAAGATTTATTTGACTGGCTTTCTGACAGCAGCTAGAAAGAAACAGTTTTGTTTGTCTGTTACTCACGGCAGATATCAGGAGTTCTCCAGAAAACACAGGCCTCAGCCTTGATGCACTCTTGGGCATACGCTGCAACCGCAGAGCAGAAACACTCACAGTCCCCACCAGTGTCACAGGAGCAGGCATCATGAACGCAAGCCTCATAGTATGGAAGTGGGTCCACCTGTCAGGGGAAGAAATGATGCCCCAGTTCATCTCCAAATTAGTTTTCAAATTAATATGTTTGAGAACTCTTGATATATGAGAATTGAGCTAGAAAGGGATGATACTGTGTCTAAAGGTTACCAAGTCACAAACACAGGCTTGAAGCTGCTCAATATGTTTTGGGGAATAATAGACTTAAAATAATATAGCTGCTTCATAAGTTGCTATGACTGCAAAAACTAAGTATGAGTCCTTGGCAGTGCTCGCATTTTCTAATAGATTTCCATTTTAGTGCTCCCAAAACCAAGTTGAACTGATGCCAGTGAAGTCTTATCTTCCAGCAAGCTTTGCCAACCAAATGGTGAACAATGCCAGAAAGGCTTCATTTGCAGCAAATATTAAGCATGTAATTTTTTGCCTATCAGTTTTTAGAGTTTACCCAATGACACATTAAAAAAGCTTTTTTTTCTTTTTTTTTTAATTTGAGACTGCAAGGGGAGAAACATAGACTGGATTTTTGCTGCTGAAGTAAGCCACTTGGAAACATATAACAAATTAATTAAATTAATAATTGCTTGTGACTCTTCCACTGTGAGTTAAGAACAAACTGTTGCAATGGTAATTAACTTGTTAATATTACCATACATCAGGAAAGAGATGAGAAATAAAGAGGAGTGCTCTCTGTGCACTGTACTCTAAAAGCTGTGGGGCTGTCACAGTGTTTGCTGTGACAATTTGGCTGCACAGTTACCAGCAGCTGTCTGTCTAAACTATGTGATGTCAGTGGTGTCTAAAAAGATCCTTTTGTGGATCGAATAGTACAAGAAGTAGTAGCCTCTTCAACAGACACCTTTCATGTTTAGTATGAATTTCCCTCAAGAGATGGATCTGATGATTGTAAGGTCCTTCAGTACTTGTAATACTGTCTCTCAACAAGAGATGGAGCAACTGCGGCAAACACAGACCTGTTCAGGATACATTTCTGAAGCTAACTTGCAGAGTAGTAGCAGTGAAACTGTGGTGATGAATATGGGTTTGTACAGCTGGGGCTGCCACCACCACCACTGACACAGACCCATAGAAACTCAGACTACTTTGACTAAGGCCTCATGAAATGTTCTGACACCTGTAGCTGTACTGAAGACTTAATTGAAGATATCAATCCATTTAACCACCTCTTCATTCATTTCTGATGGTCTTTTTGGTTCTGCATTATCAGAAATGCACTGTGCTGTCTCATCACGTATTGTCTTCTACAAACCTTGGAGTGACAAATTTTGAAGACTTCGCTCTGGATGATACTGCATTCTTTCTCTGCCCAGGACTTCCGGTGTGGTTTCAGATCACAGGGCTTAATCTCTTGTGTGACATCTGGGCACATGGGAGATTGTTTCCAGGAATTTCCAAAATTCAGAGGATTACTGTCCAGCAGTCCACTCCTTGTTGTAAAGTCATTGTTTGCCTTGTCATCAAAGTTGCCACACAGACCACACACTTTGCCCTGGAAAAGAAAATTGAGTTTTTAAGTATACCATGGAAATGAGAAACAGTCTCTGATAAAGTAAGAGCAAAACATTGACATGAAAACGACAAATTACTGTCTGCATAAATGATGACTTTCTTCTTTACTGTCAAATAATTTGTTCAAAAACTAAATTTTTATTTGTCTCTCCTCAGCAAATTTGTCAGCTGCCATGTTTTCCCTCCTTGAAATCATTTCTATCAACTCTATTTCCATATCTCTGTCTCCATATCCAACTTAAAACATTAAAGGGTGCCCATGCCTCTTACAGCTGGGAAGAATTATTTATTCTCCATTCTCAATTTATCTTAAATCATTCATTAACACAATCCTGAGGTAATTAATTTCTGCTCAAAGCAGTTTTTATTAAAAGTTTTTAATATAATGATCACAATTTCTTAATTAGTGGAAAAGAAATTACAGGGACCCATTTTTCTTGGAAGAAAATGTATCAATCTGCCCTCAATGGTGAATTTTTGGTAGTGTTATTTAAGGTCCACCAATCCCCTCAAGTAACAGTGTGTCACTGTTTCTACAATGCCTCAATATTCTCCAATTCAGCATGCTGAATTTCAGGAAACAGAACCATGGCCATACATTGCATAGGGAGTTTGGTTTTAACAGGGCTGAGATTACATATAAATTTCCAAGCACATGTGCAGTCAATCCACATCCCCTAAATTATTCTGGATGATTGGCTATCAGTACTCACAAACTGAAGAGTATTGCCTGAGATGTTTGGGTCTATTGGAATAGCATCCTATGCATCCTGTGCAATGCATTGTGATATATTGTAAGAAACCCCAGAAGCACTTCTGCAAGCTATGACAGTAATAATGCAAGCTAACCATGAGTGCACAGAGGATATAGGAATTAGACATGGAGTCAGAATAAAAGAACATTTGTTTTCTTGTCTATTCACAATACTACTTCAGAAGAAGACAGACAGGCACTAACCTTGTAATCAGGGCTCAGCTTGATGAAAACGGTAGTCTTTTTGTCCCAGATCAGCATCACACCATTGCTAGCCTCAATAACCAGGTACAGGCCAACTGTCCTGTTCCAATACTGCACATCATCACCAACATCTCGCTGAATTTCTTTGTACTCTTTGTTCTCCAATTTTAATTCAGTTTTCTAAAAGATAAAAGAGAACTATTGTAATACTAACTTCTATGATAAGACAAAATATTAGGCACTTGTAACAATGAAACTCATTCTGAAGCCAGTAGCTCAAACTCTGGGATGACTCCCAAGATGGCAGGGAGTGTAGTACTTCTGTTTGAGAGAGTTTTCATCACTTGAGAACCTACACCTTTACAGAATAATTTGATAGGGACTCTAATGCTTGTTACAGCTTCTTTTAGGGGCATGACTTTAGAGCATTACACTTTTGGTAATGCTTGATTACTAATATGTACTGACTGTCATCACTCACCCCTAGGAACATTTTGATAGCCTTTGAGCAGGTGACTCCTGTAGTTCCACAAGGGACATTCTCTGTGATGATACTGAACGAGCCACTGGAATTTTTGTCACCACAGAAGTCCTATTGGAAAAGAAAAAAAAAGAACATGAGAAAATTAGGTAGACTATTTCATTGTAGTTCAATCTCATAAGAATTGCAGTCATTTAAATCTTCACAGTGTATAAATAGTTACTGCTCCTTCAAATTTGAGATCCTACACACATATCTTTTTACAGATGCATAGCCATATATGCATACTTCCATGCATACATATAAACAGTCTACACAGTCTCAGCCTTGGAAAAAGAGTGGGACAATAAAACAAAGTGAGGAATATATATTTAAATAAAATGTTCAAGTTTCTAAGCTTAGAATTTGGATTTATTTCACAAATTATAATTAGCTCTCACTGTAACATAGTTCTGTTACATGTCATTTATGATATCTATATCTGAAAAAAAAAAAACAAAAAACCATATTCACACAGTTTGCCTGCACTGAAAATACACAATTTATCCTGGCAGAATGTGTGAACCCCTTGGGAACAATGATGACAGGCAATTAGGAATGATAAAACCGAAGAGGAAAGTAGATTTTCAAGGCAATCAAATTCCTTTTCAGCCCTCATTATGAGCATTACCTGAGTAGCCACATATTCACAGCTCCCATCAAAGTCATAGAATTTCCCATCAAAAGTGTTATAATGGCCACTTCCATATATCATGCAAGTCCCATAGCAAATGTCATCAGTGCATTTCCAAACCCCTTTCTGGCAGGTGCTAGAAGAGAGCAGAGAAGTTGGATTTTCAGATTTCATGAAGAGGTTTTGGTTTTAAAAACTGCAGAACAAAACAAGTAACTGCCTGATATAATGTAATACTGAACAAAATATCCAAACCTCAACTTCCATTTTTAAGCCTGTTTTTAAGCTTATAACATGATTTTTACTCTGTTGAGCTACAATCTTTAGATCTGATAGCATTTTTTTTAAAAAATGAGTGAGTTTTTCCAACAAGAGATGCCCACTGAAAGCAGAGGTAACTACCACCCCCATACTGCCAGCAGAATCTGTATTTTCTGAGATAGCAATAAGTATTCCTGAAAATTAAGGATGATAATTCCAGCTTTTGCAGCTACTGTAGTACATAAGCCTAGATATGACTATGAACATATTGCATAGAATATATTCTAGAAGAGAGTATTCACTTATAACCCACCAGGTGTTGCAGTCCACTTTTATCTTGTCTCCAGAAGAATACCACTCATTGTTGTGAATGCACGGGCAATTGTTTTGTTCAACACAGCCCCCTCTGCCATCATCATACAGACCTTCAGGGCACACACAGCCTGAGACACACTCTGTCTGGAACTAAGGAATATAAGGAGAAATGGTTACCTTATGTCAAAGCACTGCATCTTAATTCCACTTCTTCACTCTTTAAAAACTGCATTTAAAATCATACAGTCTAATATTGATTAGTTTTATAAGGTTCTTTTTTTCTAGGTTTCTAATGTTTGTCTTTTCTTTTTTGATTGTCTAAGAACTCAAATTCTTTTTCTGCTTAGAAATTATGACTCTACTGAAGCCACAGTAAAGAGGAGAAGGAAACCATTGTGAAAATGGCAACAGATTAATATCATGGTAGGGGAAAAAAGGGTAGATTAAACCAAAGATAAATAAACTGCTAGTTACAACAGTATTTGCTGTGTAGCACCATGTCATGTAAAGAATACAGAAAAAAGAAAGCAAGGCACAAAGAAAACCTGAATACATACATGATCAGTTTGAGGAGTATGACAGCTAAGCTGTAGAGGTGTTTGTGAAGTCCACTTCGAGGATGCATTGCAGTCAAAGTATGTCTTGCTAGAAGAACATTCTTTTTCACCTGAATTGTTGGTTTAGATCAATCAAGGCAAAATAAATGTTAGTGAAAGGTGGTAGTTTCTCAGACAGAAATCTCAGTCTATCCTTATGAAAAAAATGGGCTCAGTGAAGAGAGAATAAAGTGAAAATGTGTTACTGTTTTACATAAAAAGAAAAAAACACGCAAAACAACTAAACGGAGAATTCAAAAGGGATGTAGGTTTGGGTTGGGAGGTTGACTATGGATTTTATTCTAGTTTAGTTTATAGAATGTCACTTACTTTTCATTCTTATTTTCACTGAAGTGCACTGGATCTTTGCATTTCGGCAAACACTAGAAAAGTGAAGTAAGTAGAAATTAAAAAAAAAAAAAGCAAGCTCAATATCTTCAATTTGAGTCTAAGGACTTGTTTATATACATTTGAGAGTATTTATTAAAGATAGCCTGCATAATTTCTACTGAAATTTCAAGGCCAATTCTATTGAATCACATGCATGAATTTTTCTGTTGGAGAAAAAGTGTAGCAAGATTTTAGGCATAATGCACAGAAAGGTTATGTTTTAAGGAATGACAGCTCTTCTATTATAATCTTTAATACTATGTTTTATGGCAACTCGGGAATTAGATAGTAATGACACAGATAATAATGGTAATTTAAATCAAAATCTCCATTTGTATACACAGTGTATTTTCATGACTATTGAATTTATATGCTGCAAATTTGTTGACCTATATGCTTCTTCTGCTGAATGAGAGAAGGCATTTCACAGTTTGCACTGACGACTCAGACAGCAAACTGTTGCCAGAGATCATGGGAAAATATAACAGAATCATGAATGTTGTTTTCAAAAGCCTATTTTACAATGAATATATATCAAGGGGACTTTCCTCCAGTGGAAAACACAAGCAAACTGTGTCTGCTAGAAAAGCAAACATAACACATAGCTGGCCTTTTATCTTCCTTTCACCATTCTGCTTAACAAAGCCTTATTAACACTTCAGCTTCAGAATAACATTTGTCTATGAAGGCCAGTACTCACACCTCCAAAGCAAGCTGCACTTCTCAATTATGTATAAATTGCATTGCAATAGAATAATGCTTTGCTCAGCATCAAGATGTCATGAAATGCATTACAGACACTCATTAAAGTACCAAAAAAAATCTAAACACATTACACCTAACAAGCAATCTTTAAAGGGCTTTTTCCCCACAAACAAGAAGCCAAAATAAAACATACCAGCGTTCTCCATCTTTTGTGAAATATTCCCCAGATTCCAGGTATGATCCCTTGTAATAACATGGGCACTGGGAGATGGGCACACAGTTATCCTGGTTATCCAAGTATGTATTGGGTGGGCAGCCACAGCCGTCCACAGGAGCAAAGTCTTGCAAGCAATACTTTTCACCATCAGCAAGGGAGCGACAGGTTTGCTGGCACATTGTAAGGTTGTAAAGGAAGACTTGATTTCCTGGGCAAGAAGACGCTTCACTGCCTGCAGGGGAAAAGCCAAACTGATAAGTAAAAGATGCAGGATGGGTAATTTGGCCTTGACATCTCCATTTTGGTTTCTTTGGCTGTGCCAAATGTAGTGATAAAAACATTCCCTTAGATCTTATTAAAGCACAAAAATATCAGAAGTCACAAGTAACACTAACCTAACTTTACCAGTTGAAGACTTACTTTTAACTGCTACTAATAGTTTCTACTTTCATAGCCCTATTTGTTTCACATACTGATAATCAAATAGAGAGCGCAATATAATAAACTGCTAGTCTCAAATACACTGAACTGTTGATATAAAGCAAGGAGGATCAGAAACAAAGACACTGATAAGCAAATGCACAGTAAAAGCCCTGATGGCTGGGATTCCATTAGTAAATGAAATTATATTAGCTAGACTGGGGAAAGAAGACGAAAGTTAAAAATATTGCTTTCTACTTTTAGGTATAAAAAATTCAATTTACATATGAAGAAAATAACATGAATTAGTAAACATTACCAGCATTGCCTCTTTTTGGTCCATTAGACATTTCTAAATCCCTTAACAGTGAGATAGATCACTGACAACCAAATTCAGAGAGAGCCTGCTTATTTCTCGTGGTTAATTATTTCCACGGGATTACTGTTCCACTACTTACTGCAGACACTCTTTCTCCAGCCTCCCAGTATGACCCCTTTGAAAGCACAGGCTCTTGAGTAAGAGGACAGGGCAGCACACAAACATTCTTCATTGTCTTCACAGAGGCAGGTGTCATATTTACATTTCTGAAAAAAAAGAACAAAATAGTCAATAAGTCCACAGTAGATCAATGGGAAATTACAACTTGATTGCTACAAAAAGTTCTGTCTGTTTTTCCTGATGTTCTTTGTATTAATTCCTATGACCAGAGAACAATGAAAGGAACGGACAAAGACCAGGGAGTTAAAGTGCTGCTTCATTTCATACAAAATGAAAATATTTGGATGCTTATTCTAACCTAAGTCAAGCCTCTTGAACCTTTAAAAAGTATTTAGCCTCCTAAGAACATATTTTTCAAAGGATATTGATACAATTTGTTCCCAGTTACTAATTAGAAATTCAGAGATCCACAAAAACTAGAATAATAAAGGCAAAATATTAACCAGATCTACAAAGACCTTTACAACTTTTGAGCTCATACTTACTTCTAAGCATAAGCAATGATTTTAGAATTCCTTTTCCTCAGGTGATCTTCCATTACTGCTCAACAGAGATGAGCATGGGCAAAAAGAATTCATGTACATTCTGGCATGAAAATGATTTGATGCTACATTCCAACAAATATATGGTTGGAATTTTTCTTCCCACTTTATAGAAACTAATGTTTCTAAACTTAAACTATGTACATCTGCAACTCTTGAGTCTTCTTTTCAATCCAAATAACCAAGCCAATAAATGCGTCAAAAAAGTAAAAAGGCAAAATAAGTGTACATTTTTATTCAGCAGCAGCGCATAAGGATCTCATCATATGAGATACTTTGGATGCTATGTTGCTTGAACCAGTGAATGCAAAAACTTCAGCATCTCTTATGGACAAGTTACTGATGTCTCAAATGTTCAAACAATGATAAATGTCTACAGTTAACCATCTGAAATAATGCAGTACTAAAAGAATGCAAAATTACAATACCTTATAGTATTCTGAAGGATCAACAGCTGAGTGACATCTTGCAAAAGGACCCTTTGGGTTTTTCAGCAAAGAACACCAATGCTCAGCATAATTTGCTGAAAAAAAAAGAGAAATTCATAACGTTTCCTTATCTTCCTTGTGCCATGCCTAGTTGTGCTGTCACATAAATGCAGTGCAGAAATACAAATGAGAGAACTGTGTGCATTCTGGGGAGTGGAGAAACTACATGCAATCACCACACATGTACTTCTAAGCCCTGATTCAGAGATATGCCATCATAAAATCAAAAACTGAAATCAAACTTTTGCAATTTGTACACATGGAATTGTGACAGCTCTTTCCATTTGGGGACCATAAAGCTAAATTAAACATAAGAATAGATAATGATAGGAAATACAAGCTGTCTTTGCAGATAATACAAATTAATGACTGTTTTCCCAGTCTTCTACCTTAGGATTCTTTTACAATCACCCCTTAAATTTTCACTTCAGTTTGATGAAGTGTTTGTATCTATACATACTTGCAGATATTAATTATTAATTTTACATTCTTGTTAAAATCTTCAGTGCCCCACTACAACCTTTACACGCCTGTTGCAGTAACACACAGCAGACACTGCTCATCCTGGCAGAAGCCAACCATCTGACTTATTAATGTGCTTACCACTTTCAATGCTGAGACTGCAGGGGTCTTCCAGCTTTTCTACCTGGTCTGTGCAGGTGGACTGAGCTTTCCATGTGTTAGCAAAGGCAGATCCTGTAGCCTCAATCAGCCCGCTGGTTGTTCTGAAGTCATCACCTTCCATTCCATTGAAGTTTCCACAAAGACCTATTTGAGAACAAGGCAAAAATCTCACATAAGCATTACTTATTCTCATATGGAAAGGACAAAGGAAAAGGACAACTGATCACAAACACCAGAAATAGCTGACTATTCCACATCAATTTAATGCATACTATAAATACTGAAGTTTTAGAAGTCCTGGTTTAAATCTTCAACATCTTCAAGAATAGTTTTCATGAAGGTATCTGTGCTTCAAGAGATTACTACTCTAACCCATATTTTTTATGCTTTCTGATGATATTGAAGCCACAAAATACACCATAAACTGGCTTTGTGGATAGTTTAAAATTAAACTAAATACAAAAGTTAGGAATATTCTAAGAAACACCTATGTACTGGCAACAGAGTGATAGGTCATTTTATTATCAAAAAATAAAAACACATTTCTAGTTTGCTTGAGTCAATTTCCTTTCCATTTTCTCTCCCAGAACCAGCATGAGTTACCACTCATATAAAGAACACATGACTATTCAGCTGTGAAATAACATGACTTTGCTCCACATTTGCATAGACACTTGCCTTGAATTTTTCCTTTAACTGATTGATCTACAGTCACAAACAGCTGCATGACTCGAAACAGTTGGATCTGCATCTGAAGCCCAAAAGGAGTTTGTACAATAAAGTAGTTGGAAGATGGCTTGAATACTGAGAAGCTGCCTGAAAAACAAAATATGAACTGTTGTAATAAAACAATACACGCAGGCTGCCAAAATAAACATTTCATATTAGATTCTCATGTATCACCCAGCATGAAATCTCTGAGACCAGGATCAAATTAATATTTTTTTCATTTAAAAATCGCTGGCCAATTAGATATGATGCTGGTGCTTACAAACTTAACAAGCTGATTACTTATAAAGAAGGGTCTCTAGGATCAGAACCAAATGGGCATGCCCACACCTTGTAGCCATGTTTGCAAAGTGTTAAATACCTCTCTTCCACTTTTGCCTCTATAAAAATACACCCCTACATGAGAAGTCAGGTGTGTGACACTTGACATACAAGGCGGTGTCCCTTACTTGACACATGAGGCACATTCACTGTCATCTCATTCAGGAGCACGCTGCCATCCGATCTGAAAACCACCACCTGTGTAACAGCAAATGGAATCAGTGAGGTCCCAGGGACTGAGAAAAACAAACCAATACAAAGAAGATTTACAGCAAAGACATTTTACACATTTAGACTCTGTCTAGAACTCCAAATTTTTGAAAGGAAAAGTCTGTCTGAAAATTGAACACGGCACCAGCTCTATAGGTTACACCTAAGGTTTTGTCTTGCTATTCAGTGTTTTTCTTACATCTGCCTGCAAGAATTCATAGCAGTAATGAAATGCAAAACTCATTTATATCGGGCACTGTGGTTTCCACAAGTAGAAGAAAATATTAGGTCTTCAGGAACTGTAGGAAGTTCTTATTCCTTATTAAAGCATGTGTTACAGCTTCTGTGTGATGGTTGATAAGATTCTGACATAGTAAGAAAACAGTTTATTAAACTTCCTCAAAAAATGCTACTCTACATACAGAAACACAAAACTATTGGGTTTTGATTTGGTTTTCTTACATTTTAGTAATATTGGCAAGGACATGGAAGTCCATAAATATGTGAGGGAAATCATATATATATGTATGTAAATTATGTATAGAGATAGTCTATATATTCTCATAAACAAAGAGAATACTAAAGTGAATATTTGAGAAGGTTGGATTGTATCACCATTCAAAGACAGGATTTCTTCTGAAAAAGACTCAAGTAGAACTATAAAATTATATCGGAATGAAGAAAGAAACTGTGAGGTGGAAGAGAATAGGTACCCTTCCTTCCAGACATTCTGGAATCCTGTGAGAAACATCATATTGCACAGAGCAGAGGAAAAAAGAGGGGGAAATGTCAATTGTTTTGAATCTCATACCTTCTTAAGTTTAGGTTTATTTTGAATTCTTGAGGCAGAAACCTGAGCTGTTTATCAGCCTATCTGAGGTTCCTTACTTATCCACAATAATGATTCCAGAAGAAAAAATATTCACCCACATTAAGGGAAATATGTTAATTTTCAACATATCTAGAAGAATCCACAGAACAGCACTTACATTCTTTTTGTTATCCACTAACAGCACAACAGTCTTCAAGCAGGTCTGTTTGTCTGTGGAGCCACAGGGAGCCAGCTCTGCCAGGAGAGCATAACTCTCATTTGCAGTACCCTAAAATCATAAGGAAAGAAATGCCCATTAGTCATATTAAAACTCTCATGAGATGATTTCCACAGCAAATTCATCAGTTACAGTAACTTTCCTAGCTCAACAAGGTTTTCCTCATTCTCTAGAACAGACACCAGATATTTTAGCAATGAATGAAACAGCTGCCTACCTCTTTTCTCTACCTTACTTTGACCCTCAGACTTAGAAATAGCTATTACAGAAGTGGCCAAGAACGTCTAATCCTGAGACTCTTAGATTTCTTATATACAAAGGACTCCACTGGATAATGGCAGCATTGGCAATATTCTATCTCACTGAGTTAATCACCCATTGCAATAAGTCCCCAGCTTCCCCTTAGGGTTATTACAGCTAAATACTGAATTTTCCTGAAAGTACAACTTCCAGCATTTTGGCTTCTCCCCTCTATGGAAGTGGAATAGAACAATAACTCCCAGATGACACACATCAGCCCACAGAGAACAGCCCCACTGTACACCATACCTTGGCCAACACATAGTAGCAGTCTCCATGGAAGGTGTATTTCTTCCCATCAAAGGTGGTAAAATGGGAACCTCCTTGCACTGAGCATGTGCCTGGACAGGGTAGATCTTTGCAGGTCCATCTGCCTGAATTACAGGTGCTATAAACAGACAATACAAAAAATGCTTGTAGTTATTACAGGAGCTGAGAGCACTGAAAGTATTTGTATATCTGGCAACCAGCAAGTTATCCCCAGGTGTTTTAAAACTGTATCCTTAACCATTTCCTTGAGATTTTCCCTCTGACATATGCCACAGAATCTGACATATGCCATAGAAACTTACCAGAAATTTTGTTCTGTAGACATGCAACATAAACATTAAATTCAGAGAGTTTTCAGAACATCTCCTATGACCAAGTAGAAATTTGAAAAATGCAGGCCCATTTACAATCATTCAAAGAAAGGTGTACAACAACCAGGATCCTTACCATTCTTCACATTCTTTGGAAATGCTTTCTCCAGGTGCATATGCCTTTCCACCATGTTTGCAGTGGCACTGGCTAACAGGGATGCAGCCTTTTTCACTGATATCATCATACACAGTTCCTATAAAACACAACATTAACTATTTACACTCTTTTTCAAATAAGCAATTTGCACAGAGGAAATACTCCAATTTGCCACACAGGCTGAGATTATCTAAACTTTGAACAATACTGGCTCTATTTTTTGTAATATATGACAGATGGAAAGCACCTTTATTTAGCTTTGAAAATCCAAGTCTGTTAATTTATATAACTACACAGATAAAAAGGTTATTGCAAGCATATAAGAACAATCTTTGTGATAAGACCATCACTATAATCTTCTTTCCTAAGGTTCAGATTTTCACCTGAGAATTTCACTCACTGTCCCTCACTGCCACTCTGGGTGAATGATGTCCATTGTCTCAGAACTATTCAACCTAAAAAGCATGATTTACTATATATAGTATCAAAACTCACTTGTTGAGAATTAAAAATCAGACCTATTACCAGTCACTGTGTTAATATGTTTGAACTATAAAATAATTTATTAATTTATCAATTATTACCTCCTTATAAAATTTTACAGTTATTTTCCTCTAGGGGGAAAATGATAACTAGCACTACTCTTTTCTAAGGTGTAATTTGACTAAATGTAGCACTTTTGTATGACTTCCTTAGCCAGGAATCTTGCTTTTGTCCCAGATGCTACAGCTAGAATAACACTTGCCTTCAGGGCAGAAACAGCCATCCATGTAGTGCTCCTCACAAAGGCTGCTGATTTGCAAGTGTGAGCAAGTATCCATGCATGGTGAGCTGCTTTCTCTATAGACCATGGTAGCAGGACAGGTTTTGGCTGAAAGAATAAGAAAGACACCAGGAGTTACTTGAGTGTTACATCCATCGTTCCTGAGAAACCACAGATCATACCCCCTACTCCCTTCAAGTCAGTGGTGTCTCAAGCCAGACTCCACATGTAAAGCATGTTTATCTAAATCTGAACTCCTTTCCCTGGTTTTTATATTTACTTCTTTTCGTTTCAAATAGCTCAAATTATTCCCATATCCTGCAGCATCAAATCTCAGGTTTTTTAATGGGAACAGGATTTGCTGAAAAATATTTCTTAATAGTAAAAGTAATAGAAAAAAGAAAACAGAAAGATCATACTATTTTTAGCACTACCGATATGAAATTTATAATGCATCCCAACAGCTTCGTAAAGAAGTAATGAATTTAAATTTCATGGTGCTACATGCATGAAACATTTGGATCTTTGTAAAATTTGTGTAGCTGCTTACGGCAGAAGTTCTGCGTCCTCCATTCTCCTGGGCGGCCGCCTGCGTGCGAGCACTGGCGGGAATACTCAGAGATGGTGCTGCAGAGGCAGAAGGAGTCGTCCTTCCCATTACAGGCACACTTGTCCTGCATGCAGGCTTGGATGTACATTTCCAAATTAAGACGCAGCCGACAATCAGCAAACGCAGGGGAAGTCAGCAACCTCTGACACTCGTCACGCTGAGGAGGAAGAGGAATAATGTTTAAGGGATTTACAGGTATCTGAGCTTCTGGACATTTCTTATTTTACAAAAAAAAAAAAAATTGTTGTCTTTTGAACAGCTAGGGAAAAGTAACCATGTATCCTGGAAGGGACAGTCCTCCCAGCTCCTCACAACTAACTCCCTGGTGCGCAAGGATGTCTCCATGTGCCCATGTCAAGAAAGTTCATCACAAGAAATACTTACATGCTCATTACAGCTTGGAAGAGCCTGCGTTTCATCTGGATCTTCACATTTGGCATTGGGTTTGCTGATCTTCTGCATATTCCCATATGTAATTGAGTTGTAGCTTGCATCTATGAGAAAAAAATAGAAAGAGAACTTGCTGAGCCCCAAAAATTGACAAGGAACACCTGATTCCTGGAACTCTCCTGATCAAGGGAAGCAGTTACTATGGTAATAAATATGCCTGTTAGACACAGGTACTTGCTCTGAATCATGTCTAACTGTGCTTTAAAATGTAAAGAGGAAACAGGAAAAGAAAGCTAGTAAAGAGCAAAAATATTAATCTAGAACAGAATAAAAGAATGTAGGAATTCCAGGAATGCAGCAACACTGGAACTTAATGCTTAGTCTGGAGCAATCACAGAAGCCTCTCAAGTAAAATTTGCACTCCTGTAATGTTTCTATGCACAGGGCTTGTCAGCCTATCTCCACAGATAACTATCAGTATGGTGGGATGACGCACCTCCCTTGATGAACTCATTGTAGATTTGAATGCCATTGTAATCCCCACAGAGACCACAGGTATGGTTATTAAATTTGTTGTCCAGCTCCACCTAAATAATGAAAAGACAAAGGAAAAACATAAAAGAACTATCTTTTTTTTTTTCCTTTCTTTTTCCCCCCCTTTATTTTTTTTTCCTGCTGAGATGGAGAAATATCTCAGGAAACCCAGGAAATACCAATTAAAAATACTTTGATCATACATACCATCAGGGCATCCTGCTGGTTCCACATCAGAACCAAGCCTAATTTGGCATAAATCTTGGTGTAAATTTCATTGCTCTCAATGAGGACACCAGAGGTGTAGTACGGTGTCTTCACACTAAGAAGAAAATCACAGACTTTGCATTAGTTAAGAAACATAAGGGTTGACATAAATGTCTATAATAAGCCAAATACCCCAAGGAATAGAGAAACTAGTCTGACTACCTCATCCTAACTGCACAGGGTGCCTTGTTTTAATGAGGCATAAAGTCTTCTCTCTCTGACACTCGGGACAATAACTCATTGCAAAAAGTCATTTAAAAGGCAAAGCAATATCAGAGGAAAAAAATACCCAACACTTCAGGCTCTTTAACTTAAAAAACCCCAAAATGTCAGATGTCTTCAAATTAATCAAAGAAAAATCATCATCATTGTGGTATTAACAGAGGATATTCAAACATTCACTAATAATTTACATCAATGAAAGGAGCTACAACATAATTTACAGCATTTCTTTACCAAAATACCTCATAATAATTTCAGAGAAAATTTATGTTCCATTGCAAGGAACTGCTTCCTTAAGAGAGAGTTCAGAATTCACAGGCAGTTACAGGGACTGACAACACAATTTGAAAAGAAAAGAGCATGTTAAGAGGAATTCAGTAGCTCTTTCAGTAGTCAGTTGCTTAGTTTTAAGTGAACAGGACCTGAGCTTGTTAGTGGTGACAGAAGACAATTGGCAAAGGGATGAGCATAGATATTTTTGTGTGATAACAATTCGTGTCTGTCTTACATATAAACTGAACTGCTGAATTTCATTCAGCAAAAAAAGAATTGTGGCAGGCCGTCTTATTCTATAAAATCCAGAGAACTAGAGTCTGCTCAAACAGAATGTAAACTGGAATCCAGTCAAAATAACTGGTTAATTTTCTACAGATTTATCAATGTAATTGTTATCCATCAAGATTCATGCATGTGTATGCACATCTCTTAACTAGTCTCTTGACTAGGAGAATTTTATTTTCTGATTTTCTGTCACTGGGGTTTTTACAGCTGTTTACCTCAGGCATTTCTTAACCTGCCCAATTGACTTACACATCTAGATGCAAACTTGGAGATCATTATTTCTGCTTTTGACTGCATTGTTCATCAATAAACAACAAAGTCTTGAGGGATTATATTTCTTGAGGGGAAGCATAAAATGCTGGACATCGTCTCCGTCTCAGCTTTTAGGTATCACAGCACAGAATATTTCTGTTTTTTTCTAATAGTGGAACATTCAATGAATCAGTGGATCAGGTACCTGAAGGCTAATCCATACACTTTTCTACTTTCCAGTTTTCATTTCAGCACTGTGAAATGCTATTTTACATGGCAATAGAAAATTTATTATTTCAGGAGCAATATGGAAAATTAAGTTCTACCAAAAAAAAATTCTTCAAGTAGTAAAAGCCAGTTTGGCAGGGATATGTTGTTTTATGACAAAAAAAAGCCTATCTAAGACAAAAATGGTTCTGTTTGAGAGAAACAGTTTTAAAAGTATTTCTAACTAGTTTTTCATTAAGTTCTTTTTAAGGCTTGAGTATACAATAAAGAGCTTTTCCAACTTGAGCCAATAATGTATGTTTTGTAACTTTCTGTCATTTTATGATGCATTCTAGTATGATCTTTGGAAAACTGAATGTTACTTTCAATCCTTGAACATATTTTCATTGTAGTGGCTTCCAAACTTTAGAGCAAAAGCTGATTTCTGGGCAAAACCGAGTTCTCCAATGACAATTTAAAAATTCTCTTTTTTTCAATTGTGCTAAAACATACTAATTAACTCATGAGTTGCCTCACTTGCTTCAGAATATAAAGGCACACACTACAAGGATAAGCTAATCATAGGAAAGACTAGGTTAAGACACTACTTAGCATCAGTAATGGCATCAGATTAGTTTCTTGTGTAATAGTGTTATAGGAGGAGAAAAATAACACTGCTTAGTCTGAAAAAGTACATAGTACCACAGATAAATTAGTGTGAATTTTGACCTGTGTTATATCTGTTAAAACCCCCTGAGGAATGGCTGTCAGATCTTTAAAAAATATTTATGAAGATCAGAAAAAAAACTACCTCTCTTCTGTCAGAAAATAAGAGGAAAATATCCCAGAGAAATACATTTCCTTTTCAAGGATTTGCTAGACCATCTGCTAAGGTAAACTCAAGATGTTGCCATTAAAAAAATGAAGCTACATCATTTTAAGCTAGTGAAAAATCTGGCTCATGAGCTGCACTATTTTCTGTACAACTGGAAGAACAATTCACTCAAACCTGTTCCTGACTTGTATTTAATTAATCCCTTATGCCAGTGTAGAAATAACAATTAGTACTAAAGCCCCTCCCCAAAGCAATTTTAGTGCTTAATTTCAAAAGGCTTTTTTGCTTATTTGTTTGTCTGTAGAAATGCTTTGAAGCATTAACTGTAATAGTACACAGGCAGTTGTGTAAAGAATCAATCCTGCTTTTATCTTCCCAGCACATTTCTCTGAATACCATTATAGTAAAGGAACTTACATCCGCCCATCCACCACAACCAGGTTGGGTTTGAGGTAGACCATTATATCCTTGATTTTCACCAGAATATACTGGATCTCAGGATGGCCATTGCTGTTGAGAGCACGCTGGATGTGGACAGAGAATTCCTTGTAAGCCTCTCGGCAGTCAGAAACAAAATTATACTCGCAAAAGCCAGGGAATTGGTAGATGTCTCCATCAAAAGTTTTGAAATGGTTGTTTCCCCAAGTGCTGCAGACATAGTGGCCATGGCTTCTTGTCCTTCCTGTTAGTGATGAAAAAGAAATAGAGATGAAAAGAAGTGCAAGAAACAATCCAGTGTGAAAAATGCTAAGTGTTCCATTTTACAGTAGGAACCATCTGCAATTATGTTTGCAGTGATTGCACAGATTTCAAGTGGGATCAAGTATCTACCAGGTCAGCAGAAAATACAGAAATTTCAAAATTAGAATAAGACGTTAATAAATAATTCTGACACCAGGGTATATTCTTTAATCCTCAATGAGATGATGAAACTTATCTGCAACAAGTGAGGAGGCTTAATACTGACCACTAACTTGGCTTCTGTGCCAAGCATATTATTTTATTCTGAATCACAGTATTAAATTTTTCCAAGAACTATCTTCTTCCCTGGTGCAACATGTACTAGAAACAAAACAGGGAGAAAACCAAGAAAGTACTACCAACTCTGGAAGGCTAATAGTCTCAAGGTTATGAAAGGGCTTGTGCACAAGATTTCAGGGAATTATTTCTTTTCCTAAAAGCAGTAGTGATTTCTATTACTGCAAGACAGGATTTTTTCAGAAGATAGGTCAGAAAATAGCCATGGTAGGAGAGGAAAAAAAGAAGTTTTTGCAATACCGAAGTATCAAGATTATTTATTCCTTTCCCTGCTATCCATACCAACAAAAATATAAATTAACAACAATATCTGATCAATCTCTAGGTACTGTAGATTAGGGGCAAATCATAAAAGCTGAGCATCCTTAGGAATCTTAACATTTCACAAGATTTTCTTGTAGCATAAAACATGAGAAAGCAAAACTGCTAAGAAAACCTCTAGGTTACTGTATTTTGATGGTACCAATCATACCATATACATCCAGCCAAGCTGGAACACTTCCTTCCCCTGAAGGAAGGCTGCACAGAGATCCACACAGAGTTTACAGCTGGAAGACCAAATGCAAGATAAAACTTTCCTCCCATTGCTGAGTTCAAAACACAGCAGACCAAGATCAATAGCCCAAACCTGATCACTGAATATAACTAATCACCTATTCCTCTAAAAAGCAGTTTTCAGTACAAGTGCTCCATTCCATCCCTTCAAATTTGATAGCAAATACAGTAAGTTAGAGCTTTTGCAAAAGAGTTAAAAATGTCCTAAATGACGAAATAAGCTGTTTTCAATGTTATTATATTCATTTTTGAGGAACAATTTATGATGTTCCAACAATCATCCACTTCCTTCATTGCTTTAACAATTAACCTCTCAAAGTCCTACAGTTCCTTTCTGCCAGTTGCATTTTTGCCTTAGAGTTCCTTTCTTGTCATACCTGGTATAGACTCAATGCATGGAAAGAAAAGCAACACTGAAAATATTTTCCAAGCACATCAAACTAGAAATCAATGCAGTAGAGATAGGCACTAATCTCACCAAAGAAAGCAGGATCTACCAATTTTTTCTAAGCAATGCAGCCTCAGTATTTGAAAGCTTAAGCAATTTAAGACATCCTAAAACTCCAGAGCATTATTTAAATGCACTGCCTCCTTCTAGCACCACAACGATTTTTAAACTCTCTTCTTCTTTTCCAGGAGGCAATCTGCTACCACTTAATCTCTAGAGTTTACCTTTTTTTATTTCATTAGCAGAAGAAAGAGCCAGCCAGAGGAGGAGGAGGCTGGCCGCTCTTAGCCCCATGGTGGCTAAGGTGGGTGAATGGGAGCTCCACTGGAACCTCAGCTTTTTATAATACCGACTGGGGCAATTGATTCTGTCACAGGGGAATTCAAAGGGAGGAGCCAAGAGGAGGGGTGAAAAAACAGGGGTGATATTTGCAGAAGATAAGAAGTAAACAGACAATCATTTTTCGCCATAAATGAAGGAATTCAGCATACAGGAAACTATAATATTGATTCAGTAATCATGTAATTTTTTATTGCTCTATTTCATCTACAGGATGCTGTGCTTTTAAATCCTTCAAACGCTCACACCAAGTTTAACCTTCAGTAACTCCCATAACAAATAATGAACTTGGGGTGGCTGAGCAAAGAAACACCTTGACGAAATTTTAAGGTGAGACCCTAAAATAAAGGCTTCAAAACCAAAGAATTTTTCATTTTTCATCATCACATAAGGTGATTTCTATAAAAATTAAGTGATGCTTGTGATGCACTTTGTAATTAACAATAATCCTTACAAATAAAATGGCAAATCAAGTGTTGTAAGATTATTTTGCATCCACTTATTGGATTTCTTTAATTTTACAGCTTTGGGAACGTCTAAACCAAAATACTGCCCATACTGCATATTTTGCCCAAAACAAAATTGAGACTGGGTGACACAGTAGGTTCAAGGATTTTACAGTAGAAGATGTCCTCTTTCAAACCTTATCATGGTGTAACAGAATGTCCATCAAAGTTGTAGGGATTCTCACATAATACTAAGCTTTAGAGAAAAAGTAAAAAGAAGAAGGGAAAATGGAAAAACATTGCTGTTCTTAATTCTCCTAAACATTCTTGCTCATTCTGGCTTACTTTCTCCATAAATGACAAAATTGCAGTCTACTGTCCCACATCAGATCCTACAAAAGCTATAGGGTCAGCTCTGCTTTGTGCAGAGAAAGATGGGAGGTTCCTTGGGAGAAGAAGAAAGCAGAAAACAGAACCAGGAACCAGTTCAGAATGTTGTTTCAGAAATACAGGACTTCCACATGCACATTATTTTGTGATGAGAAGTTCTTTTTAGAAGTTCTTTCTGCAACTCTCTCCAGAAGACAAAACACAGGCTCCTTGAGGTAGAGCACACTTCCTTCAAGACATCTTGTAACACATCTGCTTCCAGTCTCCACATTTCCTTATCAAAAAATTTTCAATGCAGTGACCAGAAATCTGTAATCCTCTTGATTATTTAAAGTATTTCTTACTTTCATTGATCATATTGCAAGTACAACTTTTATATTTTTCAAAACATCAAGAAAACTTTTTACTTAGTCCTTTTGACTGCTCTAGTCAACTGGAAATACTCTCTTATCATTAAAGCATATTTTTAGCTGCTATTTTTTTATTTAACAATTTTATCTGAACTATAGCCTAGACTATATCTGAACATCTTCCTGTTTTCCCTCAATACATTTCAAAAGGTTTTAGATTTTCTCCTTTCTCTATTTGAGAATACAAATTTGTGCTTCTCTTACCCATACATAGTTTATCACTCAACAATCCTGACTGAAATTAAGTAGGAACCCTTTTATCCGTCATGAATCTATCACTGGAAGAATATAACTTTAATTTCCTTCTTGGACAATAAAAATAAATGCAGTAATAACCAGTTAGAACTAACCATACATAAAAAAAAAAGCAAAAACATGGTCTACAGACATCTTTCCTCAGTGGTTGCTTTACCAGACTTAATTTCTTATGATATCTCAGAGACATCTCCCCACTTGGCATTTTCTGTGTTTTATGCCACCAAAACTCTTAGTTCAGAAGAGTTTTCTAAAAATACTTAGGAGATTCCCAAAGGACTGTTTTTTGAGATTTTCTTTTCCTCTCCATTTTCTAGGTAGTCTCCTGGCTAGAAGTATAACCTCAGAAGAAAAATTAATTCCTATAACAGTCTTTGCAAACTGCAACAGCAACTCCATGTACACAGCAAATCTGACCCCTTTTTAGATTAAACTGGATGTGTATGCTGACAGGTGTAAGTTGGAAACTTGCATATTTTCCATTCAAATTTCTTTGCCATAAAACTTCTAGATCTCAGTGGAATCAGCCTCATTCATTTCTTGTGAATGGAAAGATAATAATCCCTCAACTACAGTTGCACCATCCCTCAGTTCAATCTGCTGGTATTTTTATAATACTAATATATTCTGTGTAGTAGAAGAGCTATTTTTAGATAAGCACCTCTAAATTTTGTAGACTGATTTGCTCTACTGCAGTTTTGTCCTGCCTGTACAAGAAGCATGATTCCTTCTTGAGCTGTGAAGTTACACAGGACAATTCTCCTTCTGCAGTCTTTGCTCCTCAGAGTGACCAACTTCCCATTGTCCCTTCTTCTGACATATGTGTGGCTTGCTGCGACATCCCTAACTGGAGAGTAAGGGACATCAACATGTCTTTAAGAACTGAGACCACTCTTACAGAATTCACACTGGAGCTTACATGGCTGTGATAATCTTAAGAGAAATAAATACAGATTATTATCTCCAAAAGTCCTAGGTATTTTTGCTAGCATTAGAAGGTGTCCTAAACTATACTGTCTCTGTTTCCTTATTGACAGAAGGGTAATGATCCTGTCTACCATCTGGTTTATATGTTTTTTTAGAAATAACCAATCTTTCAGTTAGACAGCATAGCCCATTTTATCTCTTGTTCAGCTACCTTAAAGGTTTTTGGACTATATATTTTAACCCAAAAGAACCTTACTGGTAATGCGCAGATAACATCTGTATGTATGCATTAATTTATTTACCATAAATTGTTTGACAACCTGAACTAACTAATCATTTTGCAACAAAGTTAATTCCACTGTATCATTACCATCTTTGCCCTAAGCTTACATAAGTTATCTATACCTGAGCTGACCTTTCTGTGGAACTTTGTCCTATTCCTCCTTCTAGTCAGCTTAATCAGAAGTCACCTTTCTCTTTCCCATATTGGTCAGGTGTTCAGGTGTTTTTGTTACCAAAGATATTACTTATAATTCTGCATGCTGTCACTGTGCAAGTGGCAACAGAACTAGCAACAAGAAGAAGGATTTTAATGTTTAAGTTCCACAGCTGAGTATTAACAGAGATGGTATTTTAAAAGTTCCTGGAGCCCATGAGTAGCAGTACAACTTCCCATAAGCTTTCACTATATGTCTGACCTAGGAGCCCAAACACCAGTGCTACAAAAATCACTGCTAAAATCCAAAGCATAAAAAAGAAAAGTTGGTTGCATGGCAAATGTGTTTGTTATAGCAGCAGATGCAGAAGCAGAGATAAAAGATGTATTTTGAGTCATGGTTATGTCATTGCATTGTTTCCCTACCCTTAAACTTTTATGAGACTATTTCCAATAATTTCATCAGCATAGCTAACCTTTAATGTTCATTTAGTTACAGGGTAAATTTATTTTCCAATATAGTTGTTGTTAAAAAGGGAATCTACATGGAAGATTATCTTCATTCTGAATCATACTGCAGAATAAAAGGGCCTATATGTATCATTTATATAACTTTAAGATAAAATTCTGCTGAGACCTGATTTGATTTATTGTTTTATGAAGAACAAACATTTTTTCAAGAATGTGGGGTCTGTTTCTATCAGTTTACATATCAAGAAGAAATCTAATTGCAGTCTTGCTACAGTAATCACAGGTTGACCACCATACAAATACCTCAAAAACTACAATTACACTTGGTGACTGAGGTCTTTTCCCTATCTGCTTTTGTAGTCCTGACTTGCTGATCACAGGCTGCCAAACCAAGCAGCAATATTCTACCAGTAAAAGTTGTTCTGCAGAAGTGGCCATAGGATTTTTTTCTGCTACTCTTCGACTGGCCAGAATTTCACCAGAGCACACATAGCCTTACACATGACCACAGGACAGCACATCTCTGATTTTATTTCAAGAGCAGAGATTGTCTGAACCGGGTTGCTGGAACTCCCTTGGCAGCCATTCTAAAATAGCTCTGGTAAAATTCAGAGATGCAGCATACACAATCACTGCATTTCCTTGACTGAGGCATTTAAACCCTCTACAGCACATCTTGACAAAAACTTAACAAGCAACAGAGACTAGCAGCAGAAAGCTGAACAGTGCATGAAAGTGTTAAAGCAATGACATAGAAGTAATGGAGATGAATTTCATTTTGACATGCATGCTGCCAACAGATTAATCCAAAATTATCAACACAAAAGGAGCCAGCATTTAGATGGATGTAAAACTGATGTAGAATCAATTTCATCACTGTAACTTTGAGCAGACTTTGGGTTATGGGCATTACTTTTCATTCCAACAAATACAATATTGTAAGGTATCTGCTGATGCTGGCTGCAGTATAATGTTTTTACATGCCCTTCCTTAAGTGGTTTTGCATAGAAATTTTAAGAATAACATCATTTTCCACTCATAGTACTTCCTTCTTTGGAAGTCAGCAGCTCATCCTCTAAGATTAAAGTTGCAAACCATTTCCTTCTCTTCCAGTTAGGTATAAGGGGGGATAAACACATGACACACAATTAATGAACATTAGGAAGGAATGTAGGAAATAACTTCAATTAGTACACTTTCCTACTAACAGTTAACTTCTGGAAAATGTTAGTCTGCAAAAAGCCTCTGCACAGCAGCTTCTACATAAATACACAAGGAAAAATGCTTGACAATTTAAAATAATATTAGAGCAGTTCTCCTTTGTTCAAGCATCTGTGGGTTTTACTTACAACGAAATGGATTGAGTCAAGAAGAGATAGCATGAAAAAGGCACCAAGGGAATCACACTTTACATACCTTATGCTGGTAACACATAATTTTACCTGAGGAGAGTGGGATTTTCCAAAGCCTTTATTTTCTGTGTAGGAAAAGGTGGGGGAAAAAAATATTGGCAAAATGTACTTTTTTTCCTCTGTACGCTGGGGAGGATTTTTTCTGAAAGTACAGTTCACTTAGATGCTAGAAGATATTCCAGACAAAATTTGAGTACCTAAACCCGTG